TGCCGCGGGGGGGCTGCGACGGTGGAGGCGGTGCGAGGGGCTGCGATGGTGGTGGTTGCGATGGTGCTGGCCTGCTCGGCGACGCGCGCGAAGAATGCGTCGTGCGTGTGCAGCTGCTGCAGCTGCTTGAGCGTGCTCGGCCTAGGGAGTGTCTAGGGCGTGTCTAGGACGTGTCTAGGAAGTGTCTGCAGCTGCTTGAGCGTGCTATGCCGCGCGTCGTCGTCGTGCATCACGTGCTCGCGCGGCACCGCGCCCGACGCGACGAGGCGGGGGATCGCAGCCACCACCCGCTCAGCCTCCGCTCGCGCCTCTGCTGTCGCACTCGGCGAGAGGAAACCGCGTATGGCCACGGCGCCCTCGGACTGGATGGCGGCCCGGAGCGCCTCGGGCGCACAGCTGGGCGCGAGACAGCACGCCGGCGGCAGCGCCGCCGCCGCCGCACAGCCGCCTGGGGTGGCCAGGGGTCGACTCGCGGCGGCTTCGCCCGGCGGCGTTTGGTCGCCTCCGGCTGTGAGCGCGACGGGCTCGGCGGCCGTGCGTCGCTCTCGCGCCGCGCGCGCGGCGGTCACGGCGGCGAGACCCGCGAGGATGACGCCTCCGCCGGCGAGGTCGGCGGCGGTGGGCGGCTGGTGGAGGAAGACGAAGGCGAAGACGGCGGTGAAGGTCGACTGCAGAGGGAAGAAGGCGGTGACGAGCGTCGGGCCCGCGCGCTTGTTCGCGTACGCCTGCGCCGCGTAAGTTGAAGGCGGACGTGAGCAGGAAGTGTCTCGGAAGTGTCTCGGAAGTGTCTAGGATGTGCCTGCGCCGCGTAGTTGAAGGCGGACGTGAGCAGCACGGCATACGCGAGGGCGAGCCAGCCGAGGCGCGGGAGGGCAAACGACGCCCGTGACAGCCGCGCAAACGGCAGCACCGGACCAGTGAATGCCGCGCCAGCCGCATAGCCCCAAGAGGCGACGGCCAGCGAAGGGTAGCGGCCGCCGTCGAGGCTGAGCACGCGCTTCTGCAGCAGCTGGTAGAGCGCGCCGGCGAGGCACTGCGTGCCGAGTAGGCAGTTCCCAATGAGCAGGCTGTGCTGCTGCGGCGGGTGGCCAACCCTGTTCTCTCCCGGCGCTGCGGAGCCGTACGCCAGCGCAAGCGCGGCGCCGACGGCCGCGAGGACGATACCCAGGATCGAGAGCTGGCCGTGCCATTGGCTCACGTGCAGAGGCTCCAAACCAGTGAGCGCGCCGATGAGCACTGTGAGCACTGGCTGCGACGGCTGCAGCACCATCGCGTTCAGCGGCGTGGTGTACTTGAGGGCGATCACGAGAAACATCTGCCCAATAGTCACACCGAGAAGGCCGAGGAGTGCAAAATAGCAGAAATGGGCGCGGCGAGGGACAGCGAAGCGAGGCCCGCCGAGCCGAGCGGCGCAGAGAAGGATCACCGTCGCGCCAACGTCGCGTAGGAACGAGAAGACAATGGGATCGACGCTCTTGTCCAAGGCCGCCTTGGCCACGACGGAGTTGCCCGCAAAGGTGATTTGGACAATCACGAGCAGCAGGACGACGTGCCCGAGCGGGGTGTGTCCCCTCTGCTGGCGCTCAAGCAGCGGCGTGTCCGTGCCCATCTCAAAGTGTCGTTCGTCGGCGTTGAGGCCGCTCTTCTCTTCCTTTCTCTCCTCTCCCGTGGTGGGGGCGCGAGGAGGGCGAGGGCAATCAGCGCGCTGGCTGGCGAAGTAGAGTGCCGATGGTGGAGCTTGGCGCGGCGGCGGGTTTGTGGGCGGCGGGCCCCCCCGCCCGGGGGGGGGGGGGGGGGATCTTCATCTCTCGAGAGAAGGCTAAGGCTTTCTTTGGCGCGCAACATGCAAACTCCGCCGGGAATCCCCGGCGCTGGTGAACGCCGTGTGATGTTGTCGAAGAGAGGAGCGCTAGTATACCCGCGGCGGCATACCCCTGGCCCTTCCCAGTTCCCTTACAAGGGCCCCTTGCCTGAATGAATGTTTTCTGATGAAAAGCAAGGCGAATTGGGTTTCCTGGCGCGCGGCCTGGCGGGCCGGGGACGAACGGCGCCCCAGGCCAAGCGAGCCGACGACCCACTATCATTCTTTTCCTGGACGCCAAGGGAGCAACGCCACAAAGAAAAAGGAGCGCATTTCAATCCTCATTCGAATCCGAGCACTCACAATACGGCGGGCGCAACTGAATTTCCGCCTACCCAGGAGGGGCGCCACCAAAGCGAGCGAGCCGCTGCTCGTGCTCCGTGCTCCAAGCGCGCTGCTAGCCAGGCCGACCGAACCGTCCGGCCGCACATGCCTGAGCTCGGAGCCCTCACTCCCTCCTCCGCGGGCACGAGCCTTCACCCACCGCAAAAGGCGTGCACCACGCCTGTCCGAGAGGACGACGACTTCCGCTGCGATGACGGGCGTCTCCCCCACCTCACCGGCTTCGAGGAGGGAGGGCTTCCAGCTTGCCAATCCCGCTGCGAGGAAGAGCATGAATGCGCATTCGTATCGTACTGGATCAACTCGAAGTGGTGCTCACTCACGTCGAGCTGCGACACGCTTCGGGAGGCGGGCAATGGCCCCATCAGCGTGTACTCGTGCTTTCCTCCTCCACCGACGCAACCGCCCCCGCTGTCTCCTGGAACTTGCACCAATCGAAGAACGGAGTGGATGGATGACAACGGGTACGACTGCTCCTGGACGTTTGGCCTGGAAAATTACTGCAACAGGGAGTCTCTCTGGATCGCCGACAGAATCTGCCAGAAGGTGTGAGCGAATGGAGCGACCGGCCTAGCACTTGCACTGCTGTGCGGCTCCTGGAGCGCCCCCCTGGGCGTCAGGGACCTAGGATTCTGAGACGTATATCTTGCGCTACCTAGGCTTGCTTCGAGGCTGGATTCGCGTACGATGGCGACTTCTGCGCTCCACCGCCCGTCATGCCGCCTTCACCACCGCCATCGCCATCGCCATCGTCACCGCCGCCATTACCGCAAGGCGCGCCGCCCACACCGCCGCCCACACCGCCGCCGCGGACACCGCCTCCAGCACCGCCGCCGCGCGCACCTCCGCCACCGATGTCGCCGACTCCCTCACTGCCGGCCTTCCGGTCGTCAACGCCCGCGGCCGGCCCAGGGCCAACACTTCCACTCATGTCGGAATCTCCCCCCGCCACCGTGGGTTCCTCCGCTGGTGCCCCCTGGAGTAACCCAGCACGGCCCACAGCTGCCGCTGTCGCGTCCATCATTGGCAATTGGTTGAACCGGCCCCGGCCACTCTCTGCTGGGGGCCTGCAACCTGCCTCCAAATTCCTCTTTACCCCACCCATCGTCCTAAGGTGCCGTTTCTCCGTCTGG